CAGTACAGTGTTTGGGGAGATACTTCCTACTAGTCTCTAGACACCTAAATTGCTTGAGTGATTTTTACTACACCGTATTCTATTTTGTGGTCATCTTTTAAGGCCTAGTCCAGGTGTGTGTTTTTATTTCTGCTAACCATTGCCTGGCAGAGCCTGGGGGGCCCATCGCTGCCCTGTTACACAGACATAACTCCCACTGAAATTAATGGGGGTTACATCTCTGGAATTGGGGGTGGAATTTGACCATAAAAAGAAAAACAAATACTGTGCACTGGAAAGTATTGTTTGCTAGAAGCAACATGTTGAAACGCACCTGATTCCTTTACACGATACCAGAATAAGCCAGCTGATTCAGAATCTGTGTTTTTCTACTAGTGTGACACATATGCTCTGTGTATAATATTGTTTTTAGTAACAGCTAAAGCTAGCAATGACAGCCTTCAAATTGATGAGGACACCTGTCTCTGAACTTTTAATATACACTGAATAGGGTTCCATATTCTCTATTAAGAAAGTGAATGTTTAAAAACATGTTTGATGAGGTACATACCATACAGCAATGAAGTCTACACTCATGGGCAGGGAGAGTGATTTGTACAGAATGAGGTGACCAAATGCTGGTTTTAAAAAAATGTGTGAGTCTAGAATCACATGGGAGTCTGGGAGGTTGTTTTTCTGGTTTTTGTTTTGCTTTTCCAGTGGTGGTGGAAAGCCCTTTACCTCTTTTAAAGACAATATCACATGTTTTGTAAAAGCAGGTTGTTGCTCCAGTGTCTGTGGCCAGAATTTCCCTGAACACGTATTCAAGCTGTTCTGTGTCCCTTTTGGTTGCTATCTTTGGCTCGTCAATGGCTGGATTTCAGTGTTACTGAAGTTAATGAAGGCAGAGCACTTTGAGAGGGGACAAAGATAGTGGTTCTCAAACTTTTTGGCCCTTGGCCTACCCCACTCAACTCAGACCTTTCCATGGACCACCAGCCAACCATCCATGATGAAAAAATGCCTTCACTTCTCTCTAAATATGTTGAAAACGAAATGATTCATATTAGGCTACTGGAGCATAAAAACGTAAATACGCAGCTATAACATAAAGGGGCACCTATAGCCAGTAAGAAAGGAAATATTAATCAAAATCATTAAACAGATTAAACACTTTAATTTTATCATGTTAGTTTAACAAACTTAATTTTAAATAAAGTAAAATTTTACTTTATGTCCAAAACATAAGGTTTATATAAGAATGGCCATGCCGGGTCCATTTAGCCCATTATCCTGTCTTCCAACAGTGGCCAGTACCAGATGCCCTAGAGGGAGTGAACAGAACAGGTAATCCTTATGTGATCCCTCTCCTGTCACCCATTTCCAGCCTCTAACAAAGGCTACGGATACCATTCCTACCCATCCTGGCTCATAGACATTGGTGAACCTAATCTCCATGAATTTATCTACTTCTTTTTTTGAACCCTGTTAAAGTCCTGGTCTTCACAACATCCTCTGGCAAGGAGTTCCACAGGTTGACTGTGCGCTGCATGAAGAAAAACTTCCTTTTGTTTGTTTTAAACCTGCTACCTATTAATTTTATTTGGTGACCTCTACTTCTTATGTTATGGAAACAAGTAAATAACTTTTCCCTATTCACTTTTTCCATACCAGTCATGATTTTATAGACCTTTCCTCTTTTCTAAGATGAAAAGTCCCAGTCTTTTTAATATCACTTCATCTGGGACCCGTGCCAAACCCCTAATCATTTTTGTTGCCCTTTTCTGAACCTTTTCCAATGCCAATGTATCTCTTTTGAGATGAGGCAACCACACCTGTATGCAGTATTCAAGATGTGGGTATACCATGGATTTATATGGAGGCAATAAAATATTCTCTGTCTTATTCTCTGTTTCTTTTTTAATGATTCCTAACATGCTGTTTGATTTTTTGACTGCTGCTGCACATTGAGAAGATTTTTTACATAAAACTATCCACACTGAATCTCTCTTGAGTAGTTATAGTAAATTAGTCCTCATCATTTTGTGTATATATAGTTGGGATTATTTTTTCCAATGTGCATTACTTTACATTTATCAACATTACATTTTATTTGCCATTTTGTTGCCCAGTCACTTAGTTTGGTGAGATATTTTTGAAGCTTTTCACAGTCTGCTTTGGTCTTAACTATCTTGAGCAGTGTGGTATCATCTGCACATTTTCCCATCTCACTTTATACTCCTTTCTCCATTTATAAATAAATTGAATAGGATTGGTCCCAGGTAAGACCCTTAGGGGACACCACTAGTTACCTCTCTCCATTCAGAAAACTTACCATTTATTCCTACCCTTTGTTTTGTGTCTTTTAACCAGTTATCGATCAATGAAAGGGACCTTCCCTCTCATCTCATGACAACTTACTTTATTTAAGAGCCTTTGGTGAGGGACCTGTCAAAGGCTTTCTGGAAATCTAAGTACACTATATCCACTTGATCCCCCTTGTCCCCATGTTTGTTGACCCCCTCAAAGAACTCTACTAGAGTAGTAAGGCATGATTTCCCTTTACAGAAACCATTTTGATGTTTCCCCCAACCAATTCTGTTCCTCTGTGTCTGACAAATGTATTCTTTATTATAGTTTCAACTAATTTGCCCGGTACTGATGTTAGACTTACCCATCTGAAATTGCCTCGATCATCTCCAGAGCCCTTTTTAAATATTGGTGTTACATTAGCTATCTTCCAGTCATTAGGTACAGAAGCTGATTTAAAGGCTAGGTTACAAACCACAGTTAATTGTTCCACAATTTCCCATTTGAGTTTTCAGAACCCTTGGGTGAATACCATCTGGTTCTGGAGACTTGTTACTGTTAAATTTATCAATTTGTTCCAAAACTTCCTCTAGTGACACCTCAATCTGGGACAATTCCTCAGATTTGTCACTTAGAAAGAATGGCTCAGATTTGGGAATCACCCTAACCTCTTCAACCCTGAAGACCAAAGCAAATAATTCATTTAGTTTTTCTGCAATGAACTTATTGTCTTTGAGGGCTCCTTTAGCATCTTGATCATTTAGTGGCCCTACTGGATGTTTAGCCAGCTTCCTGCTTCTGATGTACTTAAAAACCTTTTTGCTATTGTTTTTTTTACTTTTTGGCTAGCTGTTCTTCATACTCCTTTTTGGCTTTCTTTATTATATTTTTACACTTAATTTGACAGAGTTTATGTTCCTTTCTATTTTCCTCACTAGGATTTAACTTCCACTTCTTTTGGTGGGAGGTAGGAAGGAGGAAGAGGGGAGTGAGGGTTCCAGGTCTGGGTGGAAGATATGGTGCAGAAGAGGTCTGGCTGGAAGATTTTCAGGAGCAGCTGAGGGTGGGGGGGACTGGGCAGGAGGGTGTTGTGTGAGTGGGATGGGGGTGGAAGGTCTGGGCAGAAGGCAGGGTGCAGGAAGGGGCTGTGGCTGGGTGGGTGTGGGCAGGAGGTACAGTGCAGGTGGAGGTGCGAGTTCTGGAAAGTAGGGAGGGTGCAGGATCAGGGTGGAGGTGCGGGGTCTTGGTGGGAGGGGATGTGTGTAAAGGCAATGAGGATGCAGGGTTTGAACATGAGGGAGATGGGGAGCGCACTGCCCCCCACTTCGTCACCCCTCTCCACTGCTCCTGTTGGCACCATTGTGGCCAGTGAGAGCAACGGGGAAAGCCTCCAAAGGAATGGTTTCCTGTGCTTCCATTTCCCCAGCCAGAGAGAGGGGGAAAGGCAGTGCCCACTAGGCTCGGGGCTCCCCTATGTGCAGCAGGAGGCCGACTCTGGCACTCCAACCGTGCACAGGCAGAGGGTCATGGGGCTGGAATGTCCGTTCAGGCTTCCTGTTGCGAGGGAGTGGGAACCCTGAGCCCGCAGCCCATCTGCAAGATGGTCACAGACCACTAGTGGTTCGTGGACCACACTTTAAGAACCACTGGCTTAAACTGATCTTTGTGCTATTGGAATTTTGCACTGGAATTTGGACTTAAATAGCCTTCACCATAATTTACACAGCCCTGAGTTTATGGCAAGTTCCAGGGGTGACTGTGATTGCTCTGACCATGCCCTCCACAGCAGGACTTGTAAGGGGTCAGTATAGGGTTATTTATGGTAACTGAAGTGCCTTCCCCAGAAGAATTCTCCCCTCGGCTCTTGTGGGTTTGTCTGCAGCCCATGTGCCTCACCACAACATATACACTTCCACAGCAGATGAGCTACTGTAAGGGCCAACTAATGTGAAGCTGAAAATGAATAATGAATACAAGCCTGTATTGTCACTTTTTCAGACGGGTAGTTGTGTTAGTCTGCAACTTTAAAAACCCTAAAAAATAACAAATGGTAGCACCTTAGAGACTGTCTCCCTCGATAGTATCATGAGCTTTCATGGGCATAACCCACTTCTTCAGATGAGTGGAGCAAAAGGCACAAAAAGTATTTTGGGGTTTCTGTGCCTTTTGCTCCACTCATCAGAAGAAGTGGGTTGTGCCCATGAAAGCTCATGATACTATTCTTTTTTTTTAGTCTCTAAAGGTATATCCACACTACAGAGAAGATTGAAGCTGCCGCTGTTGATTTTCCACGTTCGAATTAGCTGTCTAGTTAAGACAGCTAATTTGAAGTGAGAGGGACACTCCAGTCGATGCTGGTAACCCTGCTTTCACAAGGAGTAAGGGAAATTAAAGGAAGTGTGTTCTTCCTTCGACTTCCTGCAGTGAAGACGGCGCCAAAAGCTAAGTTTTTAGCTACTTCGACTTCAGATATGCAATTAACAAAGCTGAAGTTGCATAGCTTAATTCGACTTTGTCCCATAGTGTAGGCATACCCTAAGGGTGCCACAGGACCTATGACTTTCTGTTCATGCATGATAATTACACTGGAAAGCAAAATGAGTTTGCCATGTCCTTTTGTTTGAAAACAACCTGGGGAGCAGTAAACTGGGTTTGAGGAGGAAAAATAAAACTGACAATTTTAGTAGTCATCACATTTTTTTCCTTTTCAGGTGATCTGGTGTCTAGAGCAATGCATCACCTCCAGCCACTCAACTCAAAGCAACATGCCAACGGCACGCCAATGCACCACAAGCAGGGATCACTATACTGGGAGCCTGAGGCTTTGTACACGCTCTGTTATTTTATGCATTGTCCACAGATGGAATGGGAAAACCCTAATGTGGAGCCTTCAAAAGTTACACTGCAGATTGAAAGGTAAGATCTGATTTGCAATATTTTAATACATTTATGAAAAATATTTTATTAATAAATCAGCATTGCTGGCTAATTGATTATTACAGGCGATGCAAAATATATTTCAGTGCAGTCTGGTTTGGTTAGGATCACCTTGAAATAAATTTCTCATGCAATGAAGTGCTCCACTGCTAACCCAGTATATATCAAAAGTGACACCCAGTGGCTACATTCAGCAAATTGGTTCCAGATGTGTATTTTGTAGAGACTTCCTTTTTCTTTCTTTGTCTCTTGGCTGTTCTGTGTTTTGGAAAGGAAAATTAGAGGTTCTATTTCTAACTTAACAGGTTTGGGTTTAAATGTGTTTTTCTACAAATTAATGGGATTCGACAACTGTAATTTGGGAAGTGGAGAATGAATAGGATATTGTGTATATGAAGGACAGGCTTTTAAACATATTGTGCAACAGCAATACTGATGCACGGGCATGACTCATACTTACATTCAGGAGTAGCTTTGGGGCTTCCATTCTTCAGGCTGGTGGGTGACGCATGATTTTTGCAGGGGGTGGAGATGTTGGCCATATTACACTTTAATATAACTTTTGATAAACTAGAAGAAATAAAAGTAGAAAGAGACTGGCAGGCTAGATGTCAACTCAGTCCTAAGAAGATGGGGAGAAGGAAACACTGCTGTAAACTCAGTCCTAAGAAGATGGGGAGAAGGAAACACTGCTAGATCAGCAGTTAAGAACACTAGATCAGCAGTTAAGAAAAAAAAATATTATCTGTTATCTATTACCCAGGAGCCAAGAAGTTCTGAGTTGTAAGTCCCAGCTCTGACTCCTTTTGTAGCCTTAGGCAAATCATGAAACTTCTTCACCTAAGGTTCTTCATCTGTGCCTACCTCATAACAGTCACTTGAGGATTAATTAATGTTTGTAAGTGCCCAAAGGTGTAAATTATCAACATTTGCTTAACTTCTGTAGTGCTCATCATCATGCCAGCTAAGGCAAAGTTTAAAGCTGGCCTCCAGAATTTGCATTCCAAAGTATGTATATGCACAGCTCTCGTTTGTGTGCGCGCGCGCACACACACAATTCCACATCTAACTAATTGATTTGGACATAAAATATGGAGCTTGCACACAGAAGACTAAATTTGAAAATTTGACCCAAAACGGGAAAGGAGGTGGAATACACTGGCCTGACTGAAACTATTTTATATTCATTTATAGAAAATTGCATAAGGTGAAATTCTGACCCTACTGATGTCACTGGGAGTTCTGCCACTGATTTTAGTGGAACCAGCATTTCAACCACAGTACCCTGAGGAATCCTTCCTTGGTTATTCTTCTTGACTATGCAAAAAATTGAAACAGGGACCCCGTGTTGCCAACTTATTAGCTATTATTATGAGCCTTAAGATTTTTGGTATTTTTCTCACATCCCCAGCTCCTGAAATCCATGAGAATCCCAATTTTAATTTCCAGTATAAAGCAAAATTAAATTTATAACACTCATGGTTATAGAGAAGAACTGGTAGATGTCACCCCCCAGGTGCTTAAAAAATCAGAAAAAACAACCCCATGCTTATTATTTTTTAAATTTCAGGATTTTTCAGCCAATCTTATGATTTTTGAAGGTCCGTGGAGGGTGTTGTCATGTATTTTGAAAGCTTCGGGTTAGCCATGCTTCATGGAAAATTATTATAGTGAACAAAGTTAAAGAATCTCCCTATCACTCAAAAAGGTCCTGATTCTGTACTGTGGGGTGTGGTATGGTGTGTGTTTGGGTTTTTTTTTAGATGAATTATGTAATACCATTGACTTCTCTAGGAGTACCAAATGTGAATTTGAGCTACAGGATCAGGCTCCAGTTTTGCAAGATATCTGAGGACTTCTCAATGTTACATGCAAAAGCACAGAAATGTTTGAATGTTTTCTCTTTTAAAATTTGTTTTTGTGTTTTCTTTCCCTTTTCTAAGATGATCTGTTATCTATATTATATTTTTTAGCAGTTCAAGTTAGTATTACATAAAACCTAAAGCAATCATGGTTTTTTAATACTCTGTCAAACTATATCTTTCTTTTGCAAGACCTATTTAGCAGCTGTGGTTAGAGCCAGAGTTAAGTACTCTGTGTTATTGCCAGAAGCTCATGGTTAATTTTGGAAAGAGCAGAGATTCCTTCTATTGCCGAATCAAACATGCTTTAGTAGTTAGTACCAGAAAACGCAAGTGGAAATGAGACAGAGTAAAACATATGCCTAAATATTTTGCACTGAAATGTGTTGTACAATATACTGTATATAACCATCTTGTGAAGAGATTAGTTAAACTGACTTCTATTTAGTACTTTGAAAAGCTTCTCTTTTAATTTCCCACTGAAGAATACGAGTGGTATTCCTTCTTGCGGAGTCATTTGTTTATGACTGGTGACTTATCTCTAGCATGTTCAGTTTTCATTATGCGTTTTTCTGACTTCTGAGGAAATGGGGTTGTTAAAACATGAGATTTTTGTATTTAGCATTTCTAACCCTTGTGCTTTAATTTATCTAGGTTCCAGATTCCTTCTCCTTCTAATGCTGTTCAATTGCTTTTATGTAGGCAAACAAAAAGAAGAAAAAGGAAGGGCTAGATTTTCTACCTCTTCTCTGATCCCTTTGTTACCACTCTGGGAACTGAGTACATCTGGGCATGGGAACGTTTCTCTGGCATGGTGAAGTCCTCAGGTGTCATAAAGCCACTGCCACTCTCTTTCCATGCCAACGTAAGGAGTGCAGAGAGGGATAGGAAGAAGATGTGGCCAGAATGCACTGTGCTCTAGCCACACTCCACTTATGAGTGACCTCTTGGAAGCTGGTTGATTGCTCAGTTTAGAGAAGCTCCTCGGCTTCTGTAAAATACACTGTTATTGGCACCGAAACTCCTAGGTACTCAGGGAGCTATACCTGATTCTCTGGTAGTTCTTCCTGCTCTCTCTACATGCAGCTTCCTGAGTCCCTAGAGCAGGAGAGGGGAACCCTAGGCCCGGAGGCCGGATGCGGCCCCCAGCTTGCCTGGATCTGGGACCCGAGACTCAATTCCCCTTCCCCCCCACCAACATTGGTGAGCCTGCGCTGACACTCCAGTCCCCACGCTGCTCCCCTGTGGGGCTGGAGTACACATCATCTACTAGGTCCCTGCCCTAGAGGTTTTAGTGCCAATACCTGCTGCAGAAGCTGCATGCAGCAGAGAATCTGGCCTGTAGTCTTTATTATTTATTTGTGTTGCCGTAACTGCAGCCACACTGGGCAAACTGCTGCAGAAACACAGACCAAAATGATGGTGCCTTCCCCAGAGATCTTTCAGTATGGATATGTAGGACCAGATTTAATCTTTGAATAAATCTGGCCCATTGTATTTATGGAGTATTTCTCTGTATTCAGCTATTTTTAACGAAGTGAATGAAGATGAGTGCACTACACTTATCTTAATAGGCTGCTAGGGGACTGCGCTCTGTATGCGCACCAACCACCCTCTCTCTGGTTGCTTTTGCCTTTTAATTTTGCACTGATTATATAGAAAAGTGAACAAAGCTGAATAGAAAAAAATGTTAATTGGTCTGTTGCTCACGTTCTACAAGTTACAGACAGATCTCAGTTTCGCAGTTGGTTCTCGTTGAAGCATAAGAAAGCAAGACGCTGAGACTCTGCTTTCAAGGAGGCTGATGATGTCGTTCTGTCACGCGACAGGAAAAACTTTTATATAGAGAGAGAGATAATAACTAAAGGGGGGGGAAGAGTGTTGGCAACTATCAGAAGTTTATTAGGAGTCTCCTGATATTTAGTACGTATTTTTCGTAAAACTCCATCTTTTAGAGTCGAGGATTATATGAAAATCCCAGCATTTATTAATTTTTTGAAAAGCAAGTATCTAGTATTCACGTGTGCAGAAAAAAGCTGGAAAATGTGATTCGAGTGTATCCGAAGGGCTCAAAAAAAGAGAATATTAATAAATAGACATCCACATTTGTTATCTTTCAGTCTTATGACTTTTAAGCCAACCTCATGATTTCTTGAATGCTTGAAAAAAATTGGCAATATTAAGTAATTTAATCATCTTATTGGTTGCTTGGTACTACACAGGAGTTGTCATCTTGGTCTTGAATGGTCTGTGCAATAAAGCTATAAAAAGTGGTTCATGTGCCCAATTATGCAATTTTTGCTGGAACAGCTTATATTTTATTGGGATTGCCTTTATCGCATGTTAAACGTGAGAATACAATCCAACTACTTTGGCCATCCTCTCACAGAAGGCTCTGTTCTACACAGTTCTACCCCGCTCTCCCCACTGCTCTTATTTCATCCTATTCTCCCTATTGATGCCTATGCTGTATCCAACTTACCCCTCCTGTCTGAGTCCCAGTCTCAGTTTCACATTTTTATTTCATGATAAGCCTGTGTGTGTCATGGTGGAACCCTTCACAGAGAACCATCCTTCTCTGATGAACCCATGATGAATTTGAAGGCAGAGGGAGTGAATGAAATTAACCCCATCCTGAGAACTGCTACAGAGCCGATACACTGCATGTGTCCTAATTTATGTATGGGCTGAAGTGGGACTTGACTAATGCATAAGCCTTGTATCAGCCTTCTGCATATTTTCATGCCCAGTTAACTTGCTATCTCTACATTCAGATCCCTCCTAGAAGTATGTCCTTTGCAAGGCCTTCAAATGACAAAAAGTCATATATGTAATGTATGTATAATTAAAATAATCACTCTATACCTTGCATATAATAGTGAAAAGCAATGGATGGCTAGTCTGCCCGTCAATGTACACATATCAGTCATGGTCTAGCTGTTTATTTAGGAGTAGATTATACCTGGTCCTACATGGCCTTTCTGGGGGAAAAGGCCCTTTGCACCCTGTGCATTGATGGAGTGGACTTGCCTAGGTCATGGTTTCAGGCAGCTGTGGAGGAGAGCAGGCTTTTCATGTCAAGCAAGTGAGCAGTGGATGGGCAATGCTATGACTCGG